TGCCATATTATTTGCGACCGAGAGTAAAAGTCAGCACTATACCGCTACTTGGGCCATGCATCGGGCAAGGAACAAAGGGGAGATCTACAGTTTGATTGCAAGGTAATCTTTCACGACAATGCTACGTATGGGGAGTTGGTATGCCACCAACCCCATCAAGTTCCGTGACTCTGTGGCCAATCACATCACATCATAAGTACTTCTCCATCTATCGCAACTGTGCTAAACTGGATGATCTGAAGTCTACGGACTAAATTCCGCGATATTCGTGCCGAATTCGAGTCTACAGGTGCGGGCATCGTGCCAATTGACTGGAGATGTCTGACAACTTACATCGTGAGTATCCCACTCATGTCTTATCGATACCGCTAACAAAATTCGTAGGTAAAATCGAGAAAGAATTTCCATGGTACAATGACCTCTACCAGATATGGGGATCCAACCCCTCATTTTCTGCCAAAATAAGCTCATCGAAACCAGGTTGCCTGACACGCTGGTGACCTATTCGCGCTAACTTGTCCTGCGGGAGGTTCACGGAACCCTCCTTCAGGCACCCATCCGCAACTCAACATAATTATCCCTAACCCTGCCATAGGCAGTGCTGGTTCCCCGCAGCTCGAGTACATGGTTCGTCCCTCGGGTCCTTCTACCTCACGCGCAGGTGACAACACTCACGTCCAACAAACGGACTATGCCCGCCCTCCTCCAAGTGTTGGAGGCAGCTCAGCTGACTCCCCTGTGCAAACACCTTATGTGCCTCTTCCCTGAAGTCGTCCTGCTACCCCCCCTGGAACCAAACCACTCCCCTCAATATGCTCAGGGAGCCAGCGGCGCTGGCTCCTCCCCACAACAGGGCTTTTCTCAAGCTCCCGCAAGCAACTGTGCAGGCAGCATGACAAGCTCCCCCCTCCACTTCAGCCATACACCCCTTCCTCCCAGTAGCCGGTCATTCGGCCGTGAAGATTATTCTCCGGCCCCCCTGGGATCTGATTATGACCCACCTTTCGATGATGGCCCCCTTGCTCATGGTATGGGGGACCTTTGTATGGACAACATGGACGAAGTTCGTCATGACGAGGAGAATGTATATAATTTGGACAGCCCGCCCAGATCGAAAAAGGTGCACGGAAAGAAGCGGCAGCTACCTTCCTCTCCCACTCCGTCGCCTCCCAAGGCACCCCCTCCCCGCACCTCCAACCACGACAGTCGCAGCTCATTCAAGTCCCACGTCAATCACGTCATCATGCGCGACAGCACTTCTTCCCCCACCTCTTCATCGAAGGCTTTGTTGCAACGGTCCAATCCATCCTCCCCTCGGCAGGCGTCTCCGACATCCCAAACGTCACTCTCCGAGAGACCGAGCAGCAGGGAGTCGGTGAAGAAGCATCTCCGAACGGAGGTTCAGCAACAAGTTGAGATGTTGAATGACGACTTAGAGAGTGTGCACTCCGAGAAGCTCACCTTATACCAGCTCAAGAACGAGCGCCTGATGGTCAAGCTCAATGCCAATCGCCAAGACAAGGAGCACCATTTCATACGCGAGGAGCGTGCCCACAAGCGCGCGGACGCCGCGCTCGTCCATCAACGGCTGCAGGAGAGCAAGGACCAGGAGATTTGTTTGCGGGAAGCGGATGCGAAGGCTCTTGAGTTAGAGAGGCAGGTGATGCTCTTGCACATTGAATATGCCAAGATCAACAAGCCATGATGTTCCTGCGCACTGTAGAGATACAACAATTGCTGGGCACTACACAAAGTAAGTAGCCAGCAATATAAAAATGTTGTGGTTGTGCACAGCCTAGTCTGCTTATACTTGCAAGAAAAGTGCGTTCGACCCGAGGGGTTAGCTATTGGATTGGTCTGTAGTTAGTGAAATGATAAAACGGTCAAAAGTCCGAGCGCAGGAAACAAAGTCCGAAGGTATATCTATGATGTCCGATGCCAAAGTGTCGGGTCCGATGTTTTTGGGTTTTGGGTTAGCGGGTTTTGGGTGCGGGTTTAGCGGGTTAGCGGGAAGGGTGATAGCGAATGTCGGGAAAGCGAGTGGTATGCAGATATATGATAACGGCGGGTATTTCGGATAGAAAGAGCGGTAATATTTGCAATGTCAACTAATAACTACGAAATATCGGGTTTGACCACTAAGTATCGGGGATCGGCTCCCTACTACTTGGATAATGAAAATACTCGTAGTCAGTCCAATATATATATAAGTACGTAGAAATCCGGAACCCTATAGGCGAAAGTAGCGGCCGACGATTTCAGGTCCAAAGTACATGTAAACTAACACGAGGCGCTGCGGATGATGGGAAAACATGTAATAGCGCTTGCTACGACGTGAGTAATGTGTGAAATAATCAACTACTCACCTAGTGGGGCTAGCAAGACAAGACGGGACACGGATAGGACAGGAGCATGGGAAAATATTGGGTCCGATGCGGCCGAAATGTCGGGTCCGCTAGTCAAAGTGTCGGGTTAGCGTTGGGTTACATTAGTGCGTAACGGGCATTGGACGTGTATCGAGAAATAAGAGAATAATTGCTCAGCACGAGCTCCAGTGCTACAGTGCACTTCGTCATATGTTTTTTTTTTTCGCCGTTTCTTTTTGCTACATGTTGTCATTTGTTCACCGCTATTTGATAATCCTACAACCTACTTACTAGCATGTATGTAGTACATTTTTATGTCAAAGCTATACCTGTTTCAACTTATCCTTGCCTATGCTGAGCATCTGAGTGAGGACTGTCAAACAATTGATCCATCAACCTGGCCCTGTGTGCTTGACCAGGAGTGCCTGCATATGAGCTATCACCCACCACTTCATTACCATCTGGTCCTTCATATTCTGGATGCAGAGTATGTTTCCCTTCTTGAATGGCCCATCTGGTTGTAGGTTTGTTGCGTTTCTCTTCAAATTTGATGATCATGTTGTGAAGGATAAGGCAACACCTAACCCAATGCAGAGTAATCTGGAGGTCTTTCTGGGTCTGCATAGGGTGACGAAGCTCCTTAAGAGACTGAAAACGCCCCTTCAAAGCAGCGAATGTGTGCTCAACGCGGACACGGACCTAGATGAATTAAAATCAATGAAAATCAGTAAAAATTCCAAAAAATCAGCAGAAAAATTAGAAGATACCCTAGATAGGTGAATATTGAAGGTCTTCTGGTCCCTTGTCAACCTGCCATTCCGAGGCTTCTTGAAAGGTGGAATACACCACTTCTCAAGTGGATATGCACTATCAGCCCAAATCCAATGGTCATCAGGAAGAAGCGTGTCATGTTCCTGGTAAACACAAGTAGATTTGAAGGCATAAGCATCATGTGTACTTCCAGGGTGACCAAGTGAATAGTCGGCAATGAGGAGATTATGGGGCATAATGATTGCCTGGATTTTTCAATAGTTTCTAACCGTTAGAATAAGAGAGAGAAAATACCTGACAGTTGAGGGAATAGTTAGACTTCCTGTCATAAAATGCCTCACCATAAAGACCAGGTTTTTCATACAAATTAATAGCGGAGCCATCAATTGCAAGGATACCATTTCTCCACTCTGGGCAAGACTTGGCCTCAACATATTGCCGAGCACGCTCAGCATCCTCAGAGTCAGGAGCAGGGAAATGGATGAATGTGTCATGCTGATCAAGGAGGGCAATCATCACACAGTTACTGCAATTGATTACCAATCCAACACTGACACCAGCTCATTGGCCCACATCATCTGGTGAGATAGTGTTGCCATAATGGCCAGCATGGTTGAGAAATATAGCCAGTTGAATGGCAATGGGAAGTTGAGGGTTGTTTGACCGGTTAGTGAAAATAGGGTGATCAGAAATTTGATCGAGGATATCATTGAAGATGTCAGGATTCACGCGTAATTTCTTGTGGAAGAGGTGGTGCCGAGAGTGCCCAAAGTCATGAAGGAGCTGAATCTGGGGGGCTCGCATAGGAGGTGCATCCGGTTTATGAAGAACACGGGCCCTAGTGACCTCATTGCGAAGAGCTGTGATGGTATCATGAAGGCGGTTGTAATGGGTAGTGAAGCCGTCAGATCCATCACTGGAAGAAGAATCTGAAAGGTCGGATAATTGTGGGGTAAGAGGAGATGGAGGAGTGACCATCAGATCAAGGCCAAGATCAGAATCAGAATCAAAATCAGAATCAGAGTCAGAGGAGTCGGAATCATAGAGATCATTAAGGGTAATGCGAGTACGCTCTAGCCTGGCCTTGGCTAAGGCTAGTTCAGCCTCATCCAGTTGCTCAAGCAGCTGATTGCACATAGAGAGACGAGGCATCTGGGGATCAGGAGAGAGATAAGCTTATCACCTGCATCGATAGGGGACACTGTTGCCGGAAATGGCAACATTTTCAAGCAGAGATTCAATTTTAGTTGGCGGCTCTTCCGCTCAATGACGAGCACAGCGACAACACTCTACACGCCTGACATCCACTGCCTGCACCTTTGTCTCGCACCCTCACAGCGCACCCTCGTCGCACACCATCGTTTGCGCCCCACACCTTCGTCCTGCACCCCTTGTAAGAAAAACTCCACTTCCCTCCCATCTTTAGTACTTCGTTCGGCCCAACTGCTCTACTCTACTCTACCCCCACCTTATCTAACCCCATGAGCTACTGGGAAGGTGTTAGCGGGGGCTGCACAACTGGTTTTAGCATTTACCGTCCCACTATCAAACTTCCCCTAGATGAACTTTTAGGTGAGGAGTACGACGGCGAAGACGACCAAATGGCTGACGCCCCCATCGAGCAACTAGACGATACAAAGGAGGATGGCAACAGCAACAGTAATAATGTCCCCACCCAACCTGAGGGCGAGTCCCTCCTTGGCGGGTCTGCTTCTGCTGAACAAGACATTCTCATGAGCGATTCTCGTCAGCAGCAGCAACCACAGCCATCTACTCCTGATCTGTTCCCAGTCCCGCAAGTTCCTTCTCACTCTCATACTCACGCTCAATTGCACCCGCGTACTCGTGGCAAGGACCATTCCAGCAAGATGCCCACAAACTGTCCTGTACTAACTGTACAAATGTCTGCCACTAAGAAGACTGGTAAAGCTGGACGGCGTGCTTCTGGGAGTGTGAAGAGTCCCTCGTCTGCTGCTCCCTCAGCACCTGCTCTCAAGCACTCTGCTGCTGCGAGCGCGAAACATACTGCAACTGCGACAGTGCCTGCTTCTGCTACCGCAACAAGCCTTAATCCACTTCTCACCTTCGTCCTGCACCTTCGTCCTGTCCCTTTGTCTCACACCTTCATCCTGCGCCCTTTGCCTTGCACCTTTTGTCTTGCACCCTTATCACGTCGAATAGCTTTTGTGTACATTACATGTATATAACTATTGCTATTTCATCATGATGTTTGACCGCATTTTTTACCACTAAGTCTTGTTCTGAAGTCCGACTGTGATGCCGACCTAAGCCGCACTCATGTCAACATTTCTTTGAATTCTTAATCAAAGTTTGCCGACGTTTCATGGAGCTTACCGAGCTTACCGAGTTTTCAGGAAATTACTTTGAACGCCACTATTGTTACAACTAGGCTACAAGACTACATGTGTATTCTTACAATAATAGCAATATATACCAATGCAATATGATAATATTGCGAAAATTCCATCAAGTCAATCATCACACGGTTCATGATTACTGTAGAAGTATGTAGCAGAGGTTGCAGCTATATAGTGCTATGGTGGCTATATGGCTCTATATAGCCATCACCAGGGCTACGACAAACTTGACTTTTTACTGATGAACTCCTGTAGCTTGAAGGGGACCTACATAGCACTACAGTGCCTATATAGCTTGAAGGGTACCTACATAGCGCTACAGTGCCTATATAGCTTGAAGGGTACCTACATAGCACTACAGTGCCTATATAGCTTGAAGGGCAGCTATATAGGGCTCCCAAGATTTCCGGTTTTTCCTGATGTAGGAACAGGGAAAAAGAAGGTCGCTCATGCGATCTGCAACATGCTCAAGCGCCCGATGCTTGGTGTTCGGGCGAATGATATCCCATACCTTGCCCTCAAACTAGTTTCAGTAAGTACCATCCGAAGGCCGCGATACATCACTGACGGTGGCTTATCTTGCGATCAAGTGGAATGCATTGGTAGTCTTGGACTGCAGGGATGTAAGTATCATCTCTCAAATAATCCATTATATTCCTTCTGATGATACTTCGCACAATATTTCATGATGTCTGAATGTCCAGACAGTCGAATATGTTCTTGATTGATGTATCGTTAATGCCCTACCAGTATAGCTAGTTTGTTCCTCAAGAACGCATCGACATGATGATTGAATTCGAGTCGCCTGGATGTACGACGAGACTTGGTGAAAGTAAGCAAGCAGCTTTAGTCTGACTACTTTTTGGATTGGGCTCTTTTTTGGACACGATATATAACATCATATCACTGAGGTACCAGCAAAATTCGACATGGCCAACTTCCTCCGCAAGTGTCTGTAGTCTGCCGTGCATCGTAGACTACATACCCCCAGCAACAAAATATACATACACATCCTCTGTGGTAAGTAGGTGGGTGTGGAACTTGCTGATGCAAAAACAAGTAACAAACTGGTTCTCAAGAACTTCAAATATTCAAGCAATGAATGAAATTACAAAAAATGCTTCCAAGAGTTGACAATAGTATAAGACGGGATGCAAAGAAAGTAGAGACCAGGTACACCAACGAGATGAAAGATCAACAACTCGTGAATGTGTACCAGACGACAGTAGTAATACGATGTAGAACTACACACCAATATGAACAAAAACCATCCTCTGCTCCAGCGGCACTTTCGTCTTCACCGCGTGCGTAGCACAGTTCAGTGCCCAGGCTGCCCTCGTGCAGTCCATGACACCACCTTTCTTCAAATCTCCAATCATATACCCGTAAAAAGCTTTGACAACGTGTTTTGCAACAGCATCGTCGACCTCCCACAGCGTGCCAACGACGCTCTTGAACCCTGAAAACTGAAGACCAGCTGCAAGGTGAATCACTTCGTCCGGTGTCTCCTCATCGCCTACAGCTGTGTGACAAGCTGATAAGAACACGAACTCGGCCTGCGGAATATGATTCTCCATAATATCGAGCAGCATCAGATGTTCATCTTTCATGACGAAATGCGAATCGTAAGGCTGCGTAGGATCCTGCTTGCCATGACAAGCGAGGTGCACCCAGGTGTTCTGCTGCAAGGCTTCGAGTGCACCTGCTCGTGTGGCTGCGTCGCCAGAAATAGTGGTGCGGTTGGCCATCGCAGGCACGAGCTTATGGACAAGCTCAAGCTCGTTGTCGACTGCCAATAGTGCCTTGCCTTTCCCTGCACCCGGTTGACCCTGTCTGATTGCCACAAAGGACGGTGGCACACTGCGTTTCTTTATCAACTGTCTAGATCTGATCAGAGCCGAAAGTGTCGGCATGTAAGAGCAGATGTAGAGATCCTCCAGGCATGGCTCCTTGCCAGAACGATCCGCCTTTGTTTGAAATGGGTGAGCTGCATGGAGAGGAATGGACGTGAAAGCTGCAGTCAGACACAGCCAGATTCGAGAGCGGCGCTGTAGTTTGAGGACGTGCTCAAGTACGTCGACAATGGGCAGCATGATCTGGTCCCATATTATCCGCAAGAGCACTATTAGATCTGTCCTCGACTCTTCTGGGTTCATCCGAGATGAATCTCGTATTGCCCTGGTGAAGCGATCCTTGAGAATACTCAGATCTGCGAGAGCGATGGATGGCAAAGGAACATGATGGGGGTCTCCTGACGTCGGGACGATAATGGCGCTGCACGAGTATTGACTGGCAATGAGGATGATGACTGGGCCCTGGCACGCTGCGGCTTGGAGGTCTTCATACGAAGGTGGAAGCAGGAATCGCGAAAATGCAGGAAGATTGCGTATCTCGGCCACCGCAGCTTCCCATTGCCTTGTAAGTATTCTATACTCTATTTCCTCCTGATCAGTGGCAGCTCTGTCAGTGATCATTGCAGAACTCTGGGCTGCATTGGAAACGAGTTTGCTCAGCTCCAAGTAATTGTGCGCCAGTGTTGGATTTGCTGACTCGAGGTCTTCAACTGGAGTCCTGAGTCGAGAGGCCAGCGACCACTGCTGGCCACAACCCTGCTCCAGAAGTTCAACTGCATGTTACAAGTAACATCGGTCACGTGGCCCCCCTATCATTTTCCCTTCATCCTCGCCCTCACCATCTACCGGCTCGTCCTCCTTTACCAACTTTCCGTTGACTGGATCCTCGGGACCGTTCCCGTCCCTCGCATTGTCCGCCTCTATGCACGTGCACGCACGTTCCTCCAATGATTCGACCACCAATGTGGTCCTGCACCTATGACTCGGTCTGACTCGTGCCACCAATGTGGCTTTCCCTTTCTGTTCCTTCCGACTGCGGATTCCCGCACGTTGTATTCTTACCGTTGGTCCGTTCCAACGTTTCTCGGTCTCATTCCACATTCGACCATCCATCACTAATCCGGCTCTGTTGCCAACGCACCTATACCATTCTTGTTTCCCCTTTACCCTTACCTACTGTGCGGTAACCTTGCCCTTAACCCTCTCCACTTAGTATAAGTAGTTGGTCACCCTGTACTAGATTCTCTAACTTGAATCTACTCAATCTTCCCTGGAACATACTTCCCTCTGAACGCCCCTTTGGCTTCAGTCTCTAGTATCTTTTCTTAGTTGCTCATCGCGACTAAGTCTACCTTGATCGACCTCATCGTTCGG